AGGTTGGCACAGGATAGAATGACGTTTAGGGCTCTTATACATAGGGTCTCTATGACTCGCAAGTGACTCAATGGCACATAACAACACCAGGAGCATATACTCAGTTAAAACTCAGTACTTAAAAATAACAAGACCGAAACCACCTCAATGATTAAATCCATCGTAACCATTTAAAAAATGTTACAGGCACACTTAATTTTGTGTATATAACTTGTGAATATACATCACTATATTAAAAATTAAGAGCTCCATGAAACATCACTCTCAAACTGTTAGTTCAGAGCTTTTATTTAGGATGGCTTTTAAGATGCTCTAAAATGTCTTAGAGCAGTGTTTGAGTTCTTTAGACAATAGAGCATTCTCCTTCAAGATTTATTGCAAAGTATTTAAAAGAGGAAGATGTTGCTATTTTTCCTCAAGAAATTAATTTAATTGCTTTAGACAGTGTGTTAACAGATTTATGCTTCCTCTCAGGCTATGGTGTAAGCTGTAGCAGCTTAAGTGTTGCTCGCTTCAGCTAATTAAGACTAATACCATTGTGTTTCTGCTACTCCACTTCTTTCTAATTTAGCCTTTTTAAAAGAATGCCCATTAATAAGCAAAGCCATAGATAAATAAAGGAAAAAATGATTCTGTGCTTCATTAACCATCAATCTCTGCAACCTCCTGTCTGTTAACGTGGTTAGTTTAAAAAATGTTTGCTCTTCTGAGCTGTTGCATATGATGGAGCTATCCCAACATCAGAAACCAATCTTGGGTCATTTTTCTTAGTGCTCTAAACTGACCATAATCAGCATTACATTTAAAGCATATGTTCCACATTAACATAGTAAAAAGTTGTTCTTCTAAAGAAAAGGCAAAATGACATTTTAATAGTCAGATCCATATAGGTAAGATACACTTTGAACATTAAATAATTATGGCTACATTGATGAAATCTTTCTATTGTGATTACCATTTGTTTAAAAAATGTTAAGATAGATTGTATTTTTTATAAGGTCAACATTTTTTAGATGAATCACAGAAAGGATAGTTTCCTAAAACTTACTTGGGTAGTTATATTTGCTTACTTGACCAGAGATTTGTAAATAACTCTTCACAAAAGAAGGGAATTAGAATTTTTTAAATTTTTGGTGAAAATATGTGCTCAATAAAATGAAAACCATTTCAACATTTTCTAGGTGTATAATTTAGTAACTGGCTATATTCCTCTTGTTATACCATCTTCCTCAGTATTCTTTTCCAAGTTATTTTACTAGCATTAATGCAAATCTACTGCCTTCCAAGCTTTTCATCCAGCCTTTCAGGTTGCTGCCATCAATTAAATCACATTTGTGAAATTCTTTGAGAGAGCACAGTAACTGAGAGCCAACATTCTTTACTAATTAAATTTAAGTATTAAAGGGAAACCAGAATGCTTCATGGAGTCAAGGATGATGAAGCTTTTTGTCTCTAGTACTTTGAACATATAGCTATATGAAGCTGTTCCTTAAGGTTCCTTGGAAAAGAACATCATGATTGGAAAGATGGAGGGTCAGTGAAGGAGAGGAAGAGCCATAGTAAGAATTGACCCAGTGACGGTGACAGTGGACTCAAGTGTGTCAGGTGATGATGGCACAGGATTGGATAGGTCTTGTTCATTGGGTAAGCTAGCTACTCAACAGCACTTAACATTTCCATTGGCAGGAAATCTGGTACATCACAAACAATGTATTTGTTGACACTAACTAATGTGATTTGCACAGTGGTTTCATTCCACCTCCCAGTTCATCCAGTAGTGTCTGAGATCTTAAAAGCTTACGGCTGGTCTTCCTCGGTACAACAGATGGTTTCTACTGAGGAACTGGGAGATGGCATGGAAGCACTTGTGTCCAACAAAACCTTGACCCTCTGAATGAAGAAAGCAAATCTCATACTTGTATATTCTTTTGACAGTCCATGGAATATTCAGTGCTTTTCTTCAGCACCACCACTCGAAAATATCGATGATTCTTCAGTGTTTTATTCACTGTTCAGTTCTCAGATGCATAGGAAGTAATTGAAATGGCTTATGCTTAAATCAGGCACACCCTAGCCGTTAAAAACTGGCATTCTTGCTCTTCAGTATTTTAGTGAAGTCCCAGGCTGCAGAGTTTCCCAGTGTCCTACATCTTTTGATTTCCTGACTGTGACACTAAAAAATTTCAGGAACTACTAGATGAACAAGAGCCAATGGTAACGAAGAAGTTCAAGCTGTGTTGAAGGCACTGGCAAAAAGTAAGGCACCAGGAATGTGTGTGATACTGATTAACATGCTTCAGCTAACAGATAGAACCCTGGACGTCCTCATGTCCAGACTTTCTGTGTGAGGAAATTTGGAGAATACCTGCCTGGCTGGATGACTGGAAGAGATCCATATTTATTCCCATTCCCAAGAAATGTGATCCAACAGAAGGTGGAAATTATCAAACTGCATCATTAATATAACGTAGAAGCAAAACATTACTGAAGAACATCCAAAAATGACTGGAACAGTTCATTGTCAGGAAACTGCCAGAAGTTTAAGCTAGATTTAGAAGATGACATGGTTGTTGTTGTTGTTATGTGCCGTCGAGTCGTTTGTGACTCATAGCGACCCTATGTACAACAGCCCTAAACCCTGCTCTATCCTGTGCCAATCACATTGCCTCTGACACACCCATCCAGATTACCCCAGTCACTGAATCAATCCACCTCATAGAGGGTCTTCCTCTCCTGCGCTGTCCCTCCACTCTACCCAGCATGATGCCCCTCTCCAAAGACCTGTCTCTCCTTACAACATGTCCATAGTATGTCAGGCGAAGCCCCAGAATCCTTGCCTCCAAGGAGCAGCCTGGTTTAACCCTCTCTAGGATGAATCTATTTTTCTTGGCAGTCCATGGTACATTCAGTACTCTTCTCCAGCACCACAGCTCAAAGGCGTCAATTCTCCTTCTATCCTCCCTAGTCATTTTCCAGCTCTCTGATGCATAACAAGTGATTGCAAAAATCATGGCCCGTATCAGGCGCACCTTAGTCTCCGTTGCTCTTGAGTACTTTAGGGAGGTCCCTAACCGCAGACTTTTCCCATCGCAATACGTTTTTTTGATTTCCTGGCTACTGGTGCCAAGAGTGATGACATGGTACCAGGGATATAATTTCTGATGCCACATGGTTCCTGGCTGAAAGCTGAGACTACTAGAAAGTCTATCTGTGTTTTATTGTGTATTTGACTCTATGGATCACAGTAAACTATGGTTAACACTGAGAAGAATAAGAATCCCAGAACAGTTAATTATGCTCTTATTGAATCTATAACTAAGTGAAGAACCTGTTTTCTGAACGAACAAGAGAACACGGCATGGTTTAAAATCAGGAAGGATGTATGTTGTTAGGCTTGTATCTTTTATCCATACCTATTCAGTCTGTATGCTGAAGCCAGACTCTATGAAGAAGAATGTGGCATCAGGAATGGAGGAAGACTCACCAACAACTTGCTTTTGACACAACCTTACTTGGTAAAAGTGAGTGAGACCCGAAGCACCTGATACAGAAGATGAAAGACTACCGCCTTCAATATGGATTACATCTGGACATTGAAAAACCAGAAACTCTCACCACTGGGCCAGTAAGCAACATAATAATAAAAGATTGGATTGAAACTCAATTATTTCATCTTATTCATATCCACTATCAACACCCTTGTATTAGCAGCCAGGAGGTCAGGAGATGGTACTCTGGGTACGTCAGCTATCAGGGACCTCTCCAGAATACTGAAGAGCAGTGCTACCAGTTTGAAGACTAAAGTACTCCTGATTTAGTCTTATTCCCCCCCCCCCAATCTTGACAATAAGGACAAGAGAAGAATTGAAAACTTTGAACTGTCATGTTGGAGAAGAGTACAGAATATCCTGTGGATTGCCAAAAGATCAGATAAGTCTTTTACAAGGTGCAGCTGGAATGCTTCCTGGAGGCAAGGATGGCCAAGCTTTGTCTCTTGTACTTTGAATGTGTTCTAGGAGAGGGTATTCCTTAGAAAGGACTACCATGCTTGCAAAAGTGGAGGGTCAGTGAAAGGGAGAAAGATCTTAAATGAGATGGGTTGACACAGCAACTGCAGCAGTGGCTTCAAGTGTATCAGAAATAATGATGATGGCACAGGATGGGACTGGACTCAAGTCTGTTCATAGGATCAATATGAGTCTACTTGACAGCATCTAACAACAGTATCAAACTTGCTGATTGTAGGTCTGAGTAAGATTACATCATTAACATTTTAAAAATTTTTCTTTGTCTATCCTGATGTTGCCTACCGGTCCAGGGGTACAGAAAGCCATTAATTACCAAACATTGACCCCCCAATCCCTCCTCACCTGCAACTTCTACAAACCGTGGTCTGTATACATTTGCATGTTGGCCACTTTATATACTTGAGATCAGACAGTATTTGTCTATTTGTGATTGATTTATTGCACTGAACATGTATCTCTTAGAGGTTCGTTCATGTTGTATATCATGTCTCTCTGTGGCTTAGTGGCTTTTGTTTGTTTGTTTGTATCATGCTTTGTTTGTCCTTTACCCATTGATAGAGAATGAGTGGTTATTTATTCTGAACCTGTAATACCCAGAACAAGTCTTTATATTGGGTGCATGTGGTATACAGTGTCTTGGAAATGTGCTGCCCTTTTTCTCAGGGAAATGTGCAGATTTGGTGCTGCATTGTCTCACCAGACAACCTCAGGTGTTTATAGTTTTATAGGTTGCTATAGTATACTTGATTACCACATAATTTTTTTTGTTAGATTTTGTATTTATCTAAATTTGTTGAAAATTGTTAAATATTTTTATCTCATTTGTAATAAAGAAATAAAAATTCTCCATGGTCAAAGATGTTATTTTTGGAAACTGTATATAGAAAAATTTTTTATAAACTCCTCCCACTATATTTAGCAATGTTATATGAATGTGTAATGTTTGTTTTGTTTTCTTTGCGTCATCTTTAGTTATTCCTGCTGGTAGAGCTATTATTCCAAGTTTCAACACAGCAGAACTGGTATGTAACTTTTTAAAATTTATTCAAAAATAATCCCTCTATTAGTGATTGATGACAGAATGTGCATAGATATAGTTTATACTCTTTTAGTTGAAAGGGAAAAGCTATAGTGAAGAATAGTGATCTAGAAATAGTTTTTGTAACATAGATGTAGTAGAAACTCAGGAGTTCCAGAATTCACACTTTCTTACCAAGTTTCCCTACTTTTTGGGACAGTTGTCAAAATCTATGGGGTTTAAGAGAGTTCTGATGTTACTGAAATGATGTGAAGTTTGCATGCACTTTGAAGGCATGGCAGGGAGTTGCACTGCTACCTCACAGGTGGTGCCTCTGGCAGTTTGAATCCACCAGCAGCTCTAAGGGAGAACAATGGGTAATCTTCTATGAGATTTTTAGTCCCTGAAAACCCACTGGAGGGTCGGTTGTTTGTTACTTCAGACTTGACAGAAATGAGAAAAAGAGAATGTTACATACTTGGCGGATCCTAAGATAAATAAATTGGAGATGGTATGTTTTATTTCGTCAGCTTTAAGGTAGATCATAGTTGTTTCTTTCATTGAGGTGAAATATTCTAGTCATTGCCTATCTTTGTAAAGTAGAGCTGAGAGTGTAAGTTTCTTCCCTTTATCATTATAGGAGGAAATAAAATTACAACTGATAATAGAAAGCGGAATGTATTTTTTTTTACGTGGAGGAAGAATAGCTCTTTTTTCTTTTACATTTATTTTGTGGTACTGATTATATAGATACTAATTGTTTTTAATTTTCTTTCAGATTATTTTACATTTATAAGGTTAAAGGTATCTTCAGTAAAAATACTGCCCTTGCCTCTGACTGGCATTTTGGGGAAATCTTATGCTGCTTTTCAGAGGTGTAGGTTTTAAGGTACCAGTCTTGGTGGTATTTGTGCAGATCTAACTGGCTTTGTTGTTAAAGGCTGTAGAGTGGAATTTCTCTTTCTCCCTAATGGGATGACCTAAACAGACTAAAGAACTCATTTATTCAGAGAACTTAGTCCTAATGAACTTGTCAAATCCGTTGTCCTACTGTTCTGAATCACATTTTAAAAATTTTATTCCTAAGGAGGCTAGGGGAAAAAAAGAGATGAAAGTATTTTTCTAATACTGCAGCATTGTTTCTCATGTCCAGGGAAGCTCAAACTCCAGTGCAAATTTTGCTTTTCCTTCCGCCATTGGTTATCCCATTCACGTGCCAGCAGGCATGTTCCAGGCTGCATCAGGTGAGAACGTGCTAAGGTTATTTTGTTTGGTTTTTAGCACTAGTATTCTGTATATATTGCCCCAGATTTTTAATATACACTATATAAGACATTAATAGGAAATTTTAATAAAACCCATCTTAAATATAATAAATGGTTATTATGAAGACACCTACTATGAAAGACAATGTTCTAGATCTTGTCCTGTATTTTATTCCCAATTAACTTTCTCCTCATTGTTGTTGTTCTTGTGTATCATTTAGTCAGAACCGACTCCTTTTTGATCCATCCATGGGTTAATCTTTTCAGAGATAAATTGGATAGGTTGCAAGGTTGTCTATCTTCCTTCCAAGGACATAATGGTGGATTTGAACCTTATGCCTTTGGGTTGATAGAAAACTGTAATAAGTCTTATCCTGTATTTTATTCCCAAGATTGTTTAGATACTTTGTATTTATTTTCTCTAATCCATGGCCCTTTCTAAAGATAACATATGTGGGCGGTGAGCCTTTTCCTCCTTTCTTGTTGGAGGAACTCCAAAGAACATCTGAAAGTTTAGGGGCTAGCCAGCCTCTGCTTTTCTTGATTTGAAAAAATACAGTATCTCACCTTTTTTACTCCCCCAGCAGCTCAGTAGGAAAAGACCTGGTGAGGAACCCCGTTGACCAGTTTGCTCTGTTGCATGGGGTCCTGTGAGTTGGAATTGGTTCAGTGGCACTTACCTGACATAACAACAAACAGCAAAATGTTTGTTTAAATCCTATTTTGAGTTGGTAACACTGTAATTTATCAAAATTGGGAGAAAATAGTTTAAATACTGGTACCCTATCAATGGGAGCTCGGGTGGCCTAGCGGTAGAATTGTGCTGCACATGCCAAGGCGTATGGTTTGAATCCACCAGCTGCTCTGTGGGAGAAGGATTGGCGGTGTCTTGTGTGTCAACATCAAGAAGCCTGTGCATATCTCAAAATATGCCTTCTAACCAATGAATAAAAGTCCAGAGTGAGGAAAACATTTACTGTTTTAAGAGTGATATATGTGTATTGTAGACATTACAAAGATGTCTGAAGAATAAGCACTTTTATCGATCTATTTCTTCCCAGTCTATTGTTCTGAGATTTTTAAGAATTATATTCAAAGCTTTTCCTTCTCTGTTTTAAGGTCACCTTTATAACCTCAATATGCCAGTTATAGTGACACAGACTGTGGGAAGAACAGGTATCCTTCAGCATCCAGTTCAGCAAATATTTCATCAGCTGGGGCCTCCTTCGGTAATACAGACCAGCGTTCCACAGTTGAGCCCGTCTTCTCTTCACGCGAATCCTGAAAGAGCACAGAGACTAGAAACAGTGTTCCAACAGCCTACAATTCTACATCCTGGGACAGTGGATGGAAAACACGTAGGGAAAGTTAACACTGACATATTTGTACCTTCTGGAAGTGAGCATACAGTCGTGTCTGAAGCAGCTTTGTTGTGTGGCCCAGAAAGCCCTCAGTATGTCAGCCTTCCACGTGTTGTGCTTGCCCAGCAAGTTTCTCCCATAGATTCTGATGTGAAATCAGTGCTTGGTGTGTCACCTCACCTGACTCAAAATCTGCCTGGTGGGTCCTTCACCATGAGCCCTCAGAGTGCTCTGCATCAGGCCACGCCTGTTCTTAAAAATAGGACGTATGGATATGATTCTGCAATGCAAGCAAGAAATCCAGAGGATCCCAGCAGCCTTCCTGCCTCAGAGAAGGTAGTTCTGTGTTCAGGTTCATACGGTTGTTCTTAAAGTATTTATACTTAGCATTTATTAAGTTTCACTTCAGTCAGTGAAGTAGAAAAAGATTTTTTTTTAATAATCTGCATTTATTTCTGTGTAATCCAGTTTTATTTTACTTCTTTACATCATGAGAATTGTTCCCTCCCATTCCTTCTGGCAGATAAAATATAGAAGATAGAAATTTGTCCCAGTAATTAAACAAGTGTTTTGAGGTAATTAACATACAGAAGGCTAAAGTGGGGTTTTTTTCCCCCCTCTTACCTGATTTTCCTAAACTCCAATATGGAAATTGTTCCTATCTGAGGAATTCTTCTGCCTGTACAGTATTTTGTTTTTGTCTGCCTCCTAAAACTCTGTCATTGCCGTAGTACTGGAAGAGACTCAACGCTGCCTTGCTGGGTTTCCAAGGACGAGATTGCCCATATTTTTTTTGGTAGAGCGGTTGGTGGATTTGAATCCCCTAGAGGGGCACAGCCTTTGGGTTAGTGGCAGAACCCTTTACAGATGATGGCCCAGAGAGCCCATGCCAAAATACTCGATTTATTGAATATTATTTAGAATTTAAACCACTGAAAAAGAGTTAGTAGCTAATGCTGTTTCCAGAAAATAGACCAGAGGGCGGTGTCCAAGGAGCTCGTAATGAAGGCAGAAAGATTCCGAGAGGATTTTGGATGGTAAAATTGGTAAAGTCTTGCATTATCTTTTTACAAATGAGTTACACTTAACTCCTTTTATAAGACTTAATGACACTTAACAATTCAAAGTGTGTATCTGATGGGTTAGTGGTAAGGTGTCCTGCCAACGCAAAGGCACAAGGTTCGCATCCACCAGCTGCTCTGCAGGAGGAAGAAGGGCAGTCTCTTTCCATGCATAACAACAACATCAGCTTCTTACTAGCAAATAGTTGAGTGGTTTTCTAGAGTCACTGCACGTATCTGTTCTAAACTTACTGCTGACAAGTCAGAAGGGCTCATCTGAGCCCTCCACTGGATTTTCAGAGGCTGTAAAATCTCATAGGACGAGGTTGCCTTTCTTTCTCCCTCAGAGTCACTCATGACTTCACGCTGCCAGGGAGGCACTGCCTTTGTGCTGGTAGTGCAGGGCTTTACCCACAAAGCCACCAGAGCTTCCTTATGTTACTGTATGTATAGATAGTTAAGTTCTACCTTAATATTTTACTTCAGAATGTTTAAAATGTTTTAAGTAGTCTGGGAAAAATATACCGAGTACAGTGAAGGACAATAAGCAAAGACACTGAGTGTCTAAAATTACTAGTCTGCTTTTAGGATGTTACAGAATTTTTATGAAACATACTCAACACTGTTAGCAAGTATTCTGGTTTTGGTATATTCATTATATTTTTTTAAGAATACAAGGATTTTGAGCTCGCTTTGGCAGTACATAGACTAAAATGGGAACGATTCAGAGAAGATTAGCATGGCCCTTGTGCAAGGATGACACGCAAATTTATGAAGTGTTCCATATTTTTTTAAAGAGTACATGGATTTAAAAAAATCAGTGTAGGCTAAACTAATAAGTATCCCTTTCTGAGGTCAGTATAACTATAAATTGATTAAGTATCATTTTTATAAATCATACTAATTTTGGAAACATTTTCTTCCTGGCCTTTATATGAACTTTACACATTTTTGAAATGGTGAGTCAAGGATTAAATCTACTGTTACTCATTAGATGTAATCCTATACTTTGTTGTAATGTGGAGAAATAGATTAGTTAAGGGAGATTAATTAAAGATTAAGTACTGGAAGGGAAGTGGTTGAAAGCTTCAGCTTTGAATCCATAATAGGTTCAAATTCCACATTTACTACATGTGAGCAGAGTTTAGTAATGTTATCCAGTTACTCTGTTACAGTTTGTATACTGAGACCTTACAGTTTTTTGGATTAATTGAGCTGGTATAGATAGATTATCTAATGGTTTCAGAGATATTACTTTGTATTAGGCATTATGCTTGTGGGTCTAGTCAAACTTGAGAGACTTTTCATATCCACTATATTAGCTTTAAAATGTGTCTGTATCTAAACCGTGGGCAGTTGAAATACCAGCTAGCTTCCAGCATCACTAACAAGTTACAACTGTATGGCCAATTGATAGGCAAGTTGTAGCATTGTCAATTTTAGTTTGGAAGCTCTGCTGAAACTGCTATCAGGAAAGGTGTGCGTCAGGGTTGTATCCTTTTCTTCAAACCGAACAACTAATACGAGAAGCCGAACTATATGAAACAATATGGCATCAAGATTGGAGAAAGAATCCTCAACAACCATTGCTTCCTATGCAAATGAAAGTTGAACAGCGAATAAGGATGACCAAAGAAAAATTGATGCTTTTGAGTTGTGGTGTTGGAGAAGAACATTGAGTATCCTATTGACTTGAAAAGAATGAACTGTCTACCTTGGAAGTGCAATCGTGTGGCTCTTAGAAATAGAGATGGTGACAGTTGATTTCATGTACTCGGGCCATGTTGTCAGGAGGCACCAGTGCTTGGAAGAAGACATCGTGCAGGGAAAAGTAGAATGTCATTGAAAGAGAGGATGGGCTGACACAGGGACTGCAGTAGTGGACTGGAGCTTGGTGGAGATTGTGAGGATGTTGCAGGATAGGACAGAGTTCTATCTGTTGTGCATAGGGTGCCTTTGATTAGATGGCATCTAATAATAATAGATCTAAAACATTTCCTGTGGACTGCAGATGATTAATACGCTTGGCTGCCAGTTGAAAGGTTGGCTTTTGAATCACTCAGGCATCCTGGAAGAAAGGCGTTTTAGAAGATCCTGGAAGATCATCTTCTAAATGCTCTGAACCGCTGAAAGCCCTAAGGAATGCTGTCCCCTGCTGAAATACAGGAGGTTACAGTAAATCAAGTCAATTTGGTAGCAACTGGTTTTTATATCTAAAACACAAAAATCTAAGCTTACAAGCTATTTACTTTGTGAAATGTCTTATTTACTGTTATGTGATGTGGTGTTGAGTAGGAACTGACCACAGCTGACCCTCCAACAGGTTTTCAGAAGCAATAAATTGCATGGGAGAAGATTGCCTTTCATTCTCCCACAGAGCAGCTGGTGGATCCAATCTGTGTCTTTGGGTTGGCAGCACAGCTCCTTCCTTTCTTACTGCAATTGGCAGCTCCATGATAGATGAAGAGATTGAGATTGTTGACAGTTTCAGCTTGCTTGGGTCCACAGTTAACACTCTTGGCATCCATAGTCAGGAAATCAAAAGATGAATTACATTGGGAACATCTGCTGTCAGAGACCTCTCCAGAAGTGCTAATGAGAAGTGATGTCAGTCTAGAGACTAAGGTGTGCCTTATCCAGCCATAGTCTTTGCAGTTACTTGCTGTGCATCAGAAAGCTGGACATTGACTAAGGATGACAGAAGAATCTATGCCTTTGAGTTGTGGTCCTAGAGAAAAGCATTGAACACACCATGGACTTCCAAGAGAACAAACAGGACTGTCTAAGGGTGAACCCAAGTTGGTCCATGAAGGCAAGGATTTTGAAGCTCCATCTCACATACTTTGGGCATATTTCCAAGAGGGACCAGTCCTTGGAGAAGGACATCATGCTTGGAAGAGTGGAGGGAGAGCACAGAAGAGGAAAATCTTGGATGAGATGGATTGATACAATAACTGGGGTAATAAGGATAGATGTGTTAGAGAGACAGAATTCAGAGCTATTGTGGGGCAGATTTGTAGGGCAGATTTACAGCTTTTAGGGTTGCTATGAGTGATACCAACTCAACAATATATAGCGAATAACAATAAGCTTGACAGTGGAAAACTGAGTAGTTTTGCTTTTCTTTGCAAATACGTTTTCAGAAATTGCTTAAAACAAGTTACAAATTAGCTATATGTGTTACTTTTTCCTGTGTAGATTATCAGGGATCTTTTCCTATGTAGGTGTAAGATCTAAGGGATCCATGTAGGTTTAACATTTGTGTTACATGAATTATATTCTTGACAGTCTGTATGGTCTAGTTTTACAGTATACATTACTGTGTTAAATTTTTCTTTGGTCTAGCATTTTTCCTAAAACTGTTCAGATATTTCATTCATGGGGTTGCTATGAGTCATTTATGACTCGACGACACTTAACAACAACAGCAGCAACATAGAGCTCTGTTGGCCTAGTGGATAGAAAGTTATGCCACCAAGCCAAAGGTGGGTGATTTTAATTGGTGGCCCTCAGGTCTGGTTTTGTTTTTGGTCAGACACTCTTCTGAGGGATATAGCACTGGTCTGTCCATTTGTACAGAGGTAACTCATGGTTGCTGTGATGCTAAACACTGTAACTGTGATGTGTCAAATGCAATAAGGTTACCCCTGGTGGACAGTGTTTGCTGGAGCTCCCTGATTAAAACAAGCTTGGAAGCAAGAGTGGCATCCCCTTCCAAAATAGCTTGCCTCCAAAAACTCTGTGAACTTGGAGAAATGATGGAGGTTATACAAGTATTCAGGTCTTTCGTTCATAGGGTTGCTATGAGTCATCTATGGCTCGACAGCACTTAACAACAACAATGTTAAAATAGGGAGTTCTGGTGTCTTAGTGGCAAGAATCTAAGCTGCAGGTTCGAAGGCGTGATTCCAGGCCATCAGCAGCTCCATGAGAGAACGATGGGCAGTCTCCTTCCTTGTAAATAACTGCCTCTGAAAACCCTGCCAGAGAGTTAGCTATGGGCTGGTTCCAACTCTGTGGTACACAACGACAGCAGGGTTAACGTGCCATGGCTGTTGGTTGTTGTTATGTGCCGTGGAGTCGGTTGGGACTCAGTAATCCTGTGTACAGTAGCCCTGAAACCTGCTCTATCCTGTGCCAATCTTACTGTCTCCAGCACACTTACTGTCATTACCCTGGTCACTGAATCAGTCCATCTCATTGAAGGTCTTTCTCTCTTAGCTGTCCCTCTACTCTTCCAAGCATCATGTCCCTCTCCAAGGACTGATCCCTCCT